CGGACAGCCCTGAGCTATGCCACGGGAGCATCGTATCCAGCGATCTCCGAGAATGCCGTCACGGGAGAAAACTCTCCAATGATCACCGTACATAGCCCGAGTCAGCGCGAGGAGCTCTGGCGGGGCTCCGAGGCGCAGCAAAGCAACCTCGAGGTGGTCGATGAGGATGCCGTCGAAGTACTTTTCAAGGTCCTGCGCAATGACGTGCTGGTCATCCTCAGCGGCAGCCAGCAGCTGAGCAAGCAGGTCCTTAGCACACCGTCCACGCAGCCCACCAAGCGTCATGTGGTCAGCCCACGAGCCGACCCAGGTGCCCAAGTGAGAAAGGAACCATTTGGCTCCCACCCTCCAGCCCAAACACAGGATGCTCAGCGGCCGAAATCCTCCACGAGGTTTGTCCAACAGCGCGACCCGAGCCCGCCTCCACATGGCAGGTACCTTTGCAGAGGACGCAATGGTAAGCCACAGCTCCGCGAAGCAATTCCAGAAAGGGTCCGGGAGCATCGCGAACATCTCGGGAGTCCAGGAATCAGGCCCCGCCGACTTCCCAAGCATTGCCTTGTTGATTGCCCGGAGCTCCTGACCAGTGCAGCGCAAGTCAAGTCGCGAAGCAGGGCGCTGGGGTACCGCCTCGAAGATCCTATAAGCAGCAGCGATTGGCACCGAAGGTGGTCGAGTCCAGCGAGCGCCCCACTCAAGAGCGGCCGCATCCACCACCACCGCAGGATGAGCAGCGCGCCTCATCGCCTCCACTGGCGGCTGGGCCGGGCACGCGGCATCGACCTCAACACGAGCACGTCGCTTGATCCATGCACGCTGGGCCGCCACATCGCCCTCGACCTCGTTGCGCCATTTGCGCAACGCCAAGGTCTTCTGCTGGCTGACCTCCGCAGTGATGAGGGACTCCACAACGGCAATGGCCGCGTCGCCGCTGCAATCCTCCAGGAAAGGATGAACCTGAGGGAAGGCATCCACCAGCCACAGCAGAGCACTTCTGATCTTAGTCACGAGCCGAAGGTCACCGGGAGCACGCCGAAGATGCAGGAGCCGTCGAAGGAGGCGGCGCAGCGTCGTGAGCAGCAAGCCCTCATGCACCCAAGCAGCTTTATGAGCCTTTGCAGAGCGACGCGGCTTCCAGAGTTCATGCCGAGGGTGGCCTGCAGTCGAACCAGTAGCCGCTGCAACGCCCCCACCCGCAAGCAAAGCCTCAGCAGTGGAAGACAAAAGGCCCCAGGCCGCATCCACATCAGTATCGTGCAGCGCCTGCGCAAAGGCAGGCCTGTGCTCCTCCCAGACAGCGCACCATGCCTCCTTGGACACCTCAGCCTCCAAGAGATCACCACAACGAACACGAGGAGGACCAAGGCAGCCCGAGTGGAGCCCAAGGTCGAAGCCGTACATGACAGCAGTGTGGTCCGCCACACCGGGCGCAGACGAGAGCTCGATCGCGGGCATGCTCCAGGACCCCCATCCAAAGTCGATTCTCCGACCTCCTGCAGAAGTAGGAGGGAGGGGTCCTTCACACAAGAACGGCTCGTCGAGGCTCCTGTGCTGCGCCCCAACCAGCCGCGTGGCCATCTCCTCCTCCTCGACATTGAAGTCACCCAAAGCCAGCCAGTTCGTGGCACAAGCTGTGCACGCGCTGGCCACAGCAAAAGCATGATCAGTGGCAAGCTGTTTATCCCAAGCATGCCCATAAAGAGAAACGAAAAGGACCTTGCTAGGGGCACCCTGACAAGTGAACTCAAAGGCCACCGCAGTCGCTCGAGCAGGATCTGGAACCTGAAGCTGTGCAGGGATCCCCGGGATGCAGGAGAGGATGGCAGTCCTGTGCAAGTTCGACTCATCCAACGCACCCAGGTACAAGAAGAAACCAAAAAGACGGCACATGTTGATAGCACCGGGGGCGCTCGCTGGGTTCAGGTCTATCTCCTGAAGCGCCATGACATGTGCACCCATCTCACAGAAAAGGTTGATGATTGCTGGGAGCTTTGCGGCCCCGCCCTTGCCCACGTTCAAAGAAGCGAAGTACGTCATGACGAAGAACCCGCAGCCCCCGAAATGAACTCCCGCGCGATGGAGAAGAGCTTGGCATGCTCGGCAGAGGTGAACCCATGCGAAAGCTTGGCAGAGCGGCGCTCCTCAATCTTGAGGCGCCGCAGGTGGCGCTTGGTGGTCACTCTCACCCTCTCATCGGCGCCCCGACAGTTGTGTCGATTTGCAGACAGAGCCGTCCCAAATGAGCACAGGCAACCCTTGCATCGGAAAGCATGTGTGAGTCGCAGCACTAAACGCTTGCACTTCCGGCCTTGGAGCTGCCAGCGCCGAGGGTGGATCTGAGGCCACCGAAAGACATCAAAGGCACCCACGGGGACCTTCGGGGGGCCCTTGGAGAGGATCGTGACTCGAAGTCGCTGGTTGGCAAGCCTCCTCTTCGCTGGCTTGCCCACATTCACGGCAATGTTGCGGGACTTCCATTCCTTGATGGGGACCCCAGGGTGAGCAGCTTGCCGGTGTCGCTTGACTCCAGCCTGGAAAGCGCTCTTGGAGAGCGCAGCTTTAGCACCTTCAGGGAGGCCGTACCTGCAGCACGGGCACATCCAGTCTGTGGCCGTCCCTGCCTTGATCTTGCAAAAGGATGAGGTGTCGACGCGAAGGGCGCCAGGGAGACCTCGCCCGCCATGATGGTTGGTGCAATGCCGATTTCGCACACCTGAGGCAATGCTCCTCGTACTGCATTCGATCTGGAAGGGGCAGAACTCACACTTAAAGAAGACCTTGTCGCCGAAGACAAACGGAGACTGCTTGCGCCACTTCACAGAAGAGGCTCTCGCCGGCCGTTGCCATGCAGGAACAGGGGGCGGTTCCACAGCCTCAACCGTCTCGCCTGCGAAGTCGCCGAAGTCAGGGCCGCGGCCGTCGCCCACAGAAGGACCAGCAGCAGACCGTCCCCCCAGAGTGCTCGGGGCCTTGCTAGCAGTCTGCCCTCCAAGCTTGCTCAGGCCCGCACAGGAGCCCGGAGTCATGCCACCCAGCTTGCTAGCCGCACCACCACCAGTTCGGCCACCAAGAGAGCTCGCAGCACACGAAGACGGTCCACCTCCGCGGTCCGCAGCCAAGCCAATCACAGCAGGCTTCGCATCGGCGATGTCCTGCTTGGGCACCGGACCTCCAACAACAGCCTGGTAGTGCCTCTTCTCAAACCAAAGGCAAATCGCTCTGCCCTTGCCCGCTGGATTGAAAACCCTCAGCCCATCATCATCTGGACGGCAAATGAAAATCGGCTGGTCGAGGGTGTTGGCCAGGGCAGACAGCTCGAGGCTGCCCCCCCAAGCGCCCGGTTGGGCAAGCCTAGTGAGATATTCTCCGAAGCCTTGGGAGGCGATACACGAGCCATTGGCGTCGGGGGCGTCTCCACGCCAAAATCCTTGGAAACTCCGTTGATGCCGCCTAAGATGGGTCACAGCCAAGGTCCTCATCTCCGAAGCCGTCCGTTTCGTTCTGCCCTGATCCTGCAGCACGTCTGCTACAGCCTGAAATAGGCAATTGCCGTCCGATGCGTTGTCTTGCAAACGCATGCCTAAAGGCACTCCTCTTGCCGCGTCAGCACCGGCACGAGATTTCTTAGCAGGAGCCTCGCTCCCAGCGAGGCCAGCGGACTTTCCATCGTCCGTGCGCCCAGCATCAGCAGTGGCCAGCGTACCCATAGAGTCATCGGCAGCCGACGAAGCTTGCTCAGCAGTCACAGGTGCTTGGGCCGCAGGGCCCGCAGGAGGCGCCGGAGCAGGGCCCGCACGGCGGCCTTCCTTGCGGTCCTTCTGGGAAAGCTTTGGCCCGAAGTGCTGCCTCCACTCGCTCGGCAAGGCACGGGTCTCAGAAGCCTTGTGATTGCGCCCCAGCCGCGTAGCCTCAAAGTTGTTAGTGCCATCAGATAGGACCCGGAAATCGGAGGAGACGTCCATCTCGGCAGCAAAGATCCACGTGGTGCCGCCACGGCCCGGCACTTTCTCACGAAGTTCAGCCTGCCCAAAGCCGGCTTGGATGAGCAAGGCCTCGACCTGCTCATATCCCCACTCCCGCGGGACAGCTGAGAGGCGCCATCGGCGCTTGACCAGGCGGGTGCCAGGCGCATCCTCAGGAGAAACAGGACGCCTGATGCCAAGGTTTCTCGTGCCCCTTGCAATGCCGAACGGCGCACCATGAGCCTGCTTGCTGCAGCGCAAAGCATAGGCTTCCCACGTTTCATCAGGAAGCCATGCAACCCAATCAGTGATCATGACAGGGATGTCGGGGAGCGAGTGGTTCTTTGTCAGTGGTTGCACAAACCAGCGATCGCCTCCAACTGCCGTGCCACTCGCCTGGAGCACTGCCGAAACTTGCGAAGAAGGAACCCTGACCAGGCCTTGGATGCCAAGAAGTCGCCCAGCAGGCCCGTCCACCAATTCCCAGGCCCAGGTATCATGGACACGTCCACAAGCACCTTGTGCCCAGCGTCGAAAGGCCGAGCCAGGCTGAGCCTTTGCAGGGCCCCAATGCCCCTGCCCAAAGAAACACGCATCAGCATGCACACGCAAGACACACGTCTCACCACGGCCGGTCGGTGCGGTCACCGGCACAGCTTGCGAAGTCAGCTTGGGAGCTGAAGCACCATGGGATCCGACCCACGCATTGACGACTCGGAGCTGGTTGCGCCAAATGCCCGGGATCCGCTTTTCCTCCCACTCCAATTCCGTGCAGGCTGTACGGGTGTCCTCGAAGTGGCCCTTAAGAATGACAACGGCAAAGGCGGTGTCGACCGCAGCTCCCTGAACAAAGGTTCGAAAAAGCTCAAGCTCGTCCTCGGACTGCGGGTAGGCAATGAGCGAGGCGTCCTCATCAGCCTCGAGGGCCTCGATAGCCTCGCGGCAGCGCTTCACCATCCGAGTAGATGCTCCCCAATCCTCCGGTCGGGGCTGCCAGTCTGCAGGCGCAAGCTGCCCACCCGAAATTGGAGCCTCTCGCCCAGCAGCGCGGCCACGACGGTGGCGCCGTTTGGGCTCCTCAGCCAAGACCTGCCGGGCAGGAGCCGTAGAAGGCTTTGCCTGCTTCGGGGCCCCCTTCTTTCTAGAGACCTGCTGCCAGCCATCGCCATGATCGCCAGCATCACCCTCCACCTCAAAGTGATCTTGCGTAGCCGCCCAGTCCTGGCCTTGCGAAGGCCAAGCCTCCCAGGACGAGCCTTCCGCACCATAGCCGTAATCCTGTGCATCGGACCAATCGACCCAGCCGTGCTGGGCCCACTGAGCAGGGTCAGTCTGCCTTTCCCAGCCAGCATTGCCACCATCGCCCGCAGCAGCATGCCGCCGGAGGAGCTTGCCAAAAGCCTTCAACGGATCCTTGGGCCGCTGCCTCACCAAGTTCTCCAAGTCCTTGTAGAAACCAGCCCAGGGGTCGGGCTCGGCATCGTACTCTTCATCCTCAAAGTCGCCGCCAAACTGGGTCCACAGCTGTGACAAAGCCTCCATGAACCGCTCTCCTCGGCGCCGGCTGGTGACCTTGGCTCCAAGTCCACCACCACCACCTCTCCAATAATCATGCGCCTGCTCCTGCGCTTCCCAGCCAGCAGCCCCACCTCGTAGAGGATCCCGAGGGCCACCGCCAGGGACATCATCATCATGAGCTCGTCGTGCCGTCATCCCACATGACAAACACCAAGCAAACCAAGCTATGCGGCGACGGCGCCACCGGCAGTATCTCCGCCGGGTCCACCTCCGCCCGCCTATCCATGCAACCACAGCCGGCACCGCAGAAGAACGAGCCAGCCATTTGCTAAGACGAATTTTTTGCCTCGAGGCTCCCACAGCCCCAGAAGCGTGCACAAAATGTGCAATGCTCAAGCTAGTCAGCATCAGGTGCATGATCAGGACGACCGCAGCCTGGATCATGCACTGCCACCTTAGCACCATGCGTGCGTAGGTCATGACATTCTTCATCACGTCGATCAAGGAGACCACGCTCAGCCAGTATGCGAGTGGTTCGTACCCGTCACTGTCTCTGACGGGCCCGCACGGACCGACAGCATCAGGGATGCTGAGGAGGTCACTCACGTCCGTGCCATCTTTGCCCTGGGCATCCAGGAGA